CCATCCCCTACTCACCCACCCACCCACCCGCTCACCCCTCTCTCCCCACCCCAGCCCACCTCCCAGGCTGGTAGGTCTCAAACTCCTCCAGGAAGACGCTTTGGCTGCCGGGGGGTGCAGGCGCCGGGCTGCTGGTGGCATTAGGATGGATGAGGAACTTGAGGATGGTGCCTGTGCTGGAGCCCAGGAAGACCACGGTGTGGTTGCCCCATGGTCCTGCCGCGTTGTCCACCACAATCTTGCGGAGCTGGTACCTGCACAGCATGAGCAGAGCAGGGTGTTGGGGCCAGCAGTGTTCTCAGGAGGAGAAACAGAGGCAGGCTGGGAGCTGAACCCCAGGACGTGGACGAGCACAGAATGCAGGGGAAAGCAAAGATCCTACATGGAAACTAGTTCAGATCCCAGGCAGACTGGGCATGGATCCCAATCATGATGCAGTCAAACCCGTTCCAGAGCCCACTTAAGGTCCTGCCTGGATTCCCTTCTAGTTGCAGCTAGTAGTTCCCAGCCCTGGGATCCAGCCCTGGTCCCCCTGCAGAACCCCAGCTGATCCCCAGCCCTTGCTCCATATGCCAGTCCCCATCCCTGTGTCCCTGTCCCCATCCCCACAGCCCCATCTCCAGCCCTGCATGCTGTCCTGCTGGCTGAAGGCTGTGGTCCGAGAGCGCGGCTTGATTAATTCCCCATTAAACAGCAATTAAGACAGATTTAATTAGGATGAGACAATCTCAGCTGCAAAGTTTATGACATTTATCAGGTCTCATGGTGCTCTCCCATGCAGGGGCAGTGCTGGAGGCAGCGACGTGCTGAGGCACAGCAGTGCAAGCCATGCACACGGATGGGCACAGCTGCAAGCAGGCTGTGCATGCACCTACACACGTGCATCCCAAAAGCAGCCAATCTCCTGCACTGCTTCGTGCTGGGGGCCCCTCTGCAGCCTCTCCAGGTTCCGTCCTACCCCCACACTCACCGACTCATGGTGCGGACAATCCAGGGCGCGTTGCCCAGGGACGGCACCGCTTCATCCATCAGAGGATGCGTCTTCACAAAGGTGAGGATCTCATCGGGGAAGGTGCTGGAGGAGTTGTAGCGCATCCCCGGGGCCGCACAGCACCCCGGTCTGACAGCACAGCATGGCAAAGCTCAGCACTGCCACGGCGTGGCTGAGCCCCGTCCCATTTCTGTCCCAGTCTTGTCTCCAGCTCTGCTGATACTGGCTCTGGTGTCACCATTCCAATGTCTATCCCCGTGCCACTTCCTGACATCCCCATTCCCACTGGAGGACATCCGAAGGTCCCTCCCAACTCCTCCAATTCTCGCATTCTGATCCCTACCACCAGCCTTGGTCACTTCCATCCCTACCCGCCTCCCCACCTCCATCCCCAACCCCCTTCCTGCCACCACCCACCCGGCTTTCCCCTGCCACCATCCCTGCTGTCCCTATGGGTCATTCTCTCACCGGGGCTTTGGCACCATGTCCTCAGGTACAGCTGTCCAGATGGACTCTGGCGATTTCTGCTCTCTGAAACGCCCCTCGAAGACAGCAGCCACTTGGGTCATGTCAAAGGCACACACAGCCGAGCCGGGGATGCTGGGGAGATGCAGTGTGGGATGAACACCACAACCCACACCCACATTCCCAACCCTACTGGGCACACCTCAGCTCGGTTCTGTGAGGCCAACCTGTTGGTGGGCGTAGAGAAGACGGCGAGCACCACGGGGCGCCCGTTGAGCTCCAGGATATCCGTCACAGCATGGATGACATTGAAGTAGAAGTGTGAATCACCCGGCACGGAGCAGTTGAGCCGAGCCTTGAGGAAGGATGTCCACTGCTTCTCCAGCACTCTCTGTGACCCCCCCATGTCGTTCTTGCACACCCGAGCCACTCGGGATACCACCACCTGCAAGGGATGCCTGTCACCACCCAGCAGGGGACAAAGGCACAGCCCCCACCCCAAGGGTCCCCCTAGGCTCGGGTCACCGCAGGGACCTCTCCAACCTTTTCCAGGTAGTTGAACTCCATAGCGATCTCCCGGAAGAAGAAGTAGACGTGGCTCCTCCACTCCACCGCGTGCACAAAGTAGGGCTCTGCAGGGACAACAACGGGGTCAGGGCTACCCCAGGACAGAGCAGAAGGGGACAGGGAGCGGTGCCACGCACACCACGCTGGAAGCACCTTTGAACCACTTGGAGTCGTGTTTAACCGTGCGCAGGGTCGGGCTGTCACCCAGGCTGCGATAGATGACGGCGTCGATGGCCAGGAAATCTGTCACTGTGGCTGTGAAGAGCATCCCCCCTGCACGGGAGACACAAGCATGGGGATGCGGATGGAGACAGCACACAGAGAGCACCGGGAGGAGCAGTGCCCAACCGGTGGTCCCCACTGTGACAGCACTGACCTGTGAACAGTGCCACGTTGGCGTGCTTGGGGTCGTAGGGACACCGTGCCATGCCGCTGATATTGTCCCCAACGGGCTCCAGAGTGTCCATCTGCAGAGGGCAACACAGGGCTGTCAGTATGGCCAGGGGGTGCCATGCCAGAACGCAGGGTCTGGGTGGTGGCATCACCCTCCTGAGGAGCAGGAAACCCCCAAAGGGGAATGCTCTCCTCCTCAGAGCTCCTGTCCCTGTTGACACCCGCCAGCCCCATCCCAGCAGCAGAGGACTCACGCTGTAGTTGGCACAGATGGGGTTGAAGGCATTGGTGCCACACACGAAGAGCAGGTTCTGGTTCCGTACCAGCATCACCTTGATGAAGTTTCGGCACTCTGCCTGTGCCAGTGAGAAGGGGCCGTGAGCCTCTGCATCCACTCCCCAGCACCAGCCCCAAAAACAGCCCCAGGGAAAGGGGGGGGGGGGTGGTCTCCTCTGCCCCCCTCACCACAAGAGGCTGGGCTGGGGGGGGGGGGGGGGGGGGCAGCCCCAGGGGACACGGACGGGACCTGGAAATTGGATTTCTCGCAGATTATGAGATGTGTCTGTTCTGATCAACGGGCCAGAAATAATTAATTACAAACCCAATTATACCAGCGTCCAATAAATCACAGTTGACACAAGCGTTGGCTGGGAGCCGAGAGGCACAGGGTGACACTGGGGGATGGTGACACGTGACGTGGGATGCAGGAGGGTGAGGGGGGCTCACAGAGCTTGCATGGACCCCCCCCCATACCTCGTGTTTCCCCTTCATCCGGCAGATGCTGATGTCGTGTTGGTTTGACCTCCAAGTCAGCTTCTGTGGGGGCAGAAAATCCAACATTGGGCCAGGACAGACCCCCCCCCAGTGCCCCACAAGAGCCTGGGGGTCTGCCCTTACCCGGTGATAGCGCATCTCACTGCCAGCAGTGGGCTCCAGGCTCACACGGTAGACGTTGTCCCTGCGGGGAGGACATGGATGTCACCACCTCGTGGGTGCCTGAGGACACCTCAGAGATGTGCCCTGCAGTGTGGGGTTGTGTGTCCAGCCTGTCTGCCCCATGGGGATGGAGTGGGGTGGGCAATGAACACCTCTGGGGCACAGGCAGCCCAGAGACCCCCAGCATATAGAATTGGGGTGTCCAACAGCACCCCGCTATGGGATTGGGGTGTCCAAACTCAAAGGCTGGGGAAGACTTTTAGGTGCCAGGAGGGCCCCCGGGGCAGGAAGCAGGGTCCTTCCCAAACGATGTGGCCCATAGATATGTTTGGGGCGCAGAGGTTGAGGACCACATGTTTCACACCTGTCTCCAACGAAGAGGGTCCTGTTGACCTTGAGGATACGTTGGATGTTGAGGCGTTCGGTGCCACCCCCCTCAGGGCCGCCCGGCCGGCTGCTGCCATGGCCCACGAACACAGCGTAGTGCTTCACATCTGGGGACACCAGGAGGGGGACGTGGACACAGCATCACACACAGCTCCATGTCCAGTCAAGCCCCAACTCACATTGCACCCCAAGCCCCCCAACCCCGTCCCCTCTCTGCGCCAATCTGTGCTCCCCTGGCCCCTTCCCCAGGCACTCACAGTCCTCGTTTGCCACGGCGATGGGGCTGGGCTCCTCGGGGAAGGTGCTGTGAGCCGTCCTCTCCGCCGTGAGCAGGAGCAGCAGGACGAGGGGGGGCCACATTGTCTCCCCTGGTGCAGGCAGGCACCCACAGCACCTGCGGATAGGGAAGAGGTGGGACGGGGCAGCACCTTCCTCCCTTCTATGCCCCTACCTGCACCCCAAAGCCATTGCCAGTGCTCATGGGGTGCCTCGTTGAGGCTGGGGGTCCTGGGGGGAGCCCTGATGTGAAGGGTGATGGTCTGAGATGCTGGGGCTGGGCCAGAGCCAGCAGCCAGCGGTGTGAGACCAGGGGTGTGTCTGGGAGATGGGGGAAGTGAGTCCTTCCCCAGCTGAAGAATTCCAAATATGCTGGGAAAAGCAGCTCCTACGCCCTCCTCCAGCCCGTTCCCAGCGCCTGCACTGCTCTGCATTGGAGCTACTGGGTACAAACTGGGTGCAACCTGGGCTCCTGGCTGCAGGACGGCTGCAGGGACATGGAGATGGGGACGTGGGGACATGCAGACAGAGGAGCACAGCCATCCCGCAGAAGGGAAGATCCCCCACTGCAGCCCTGCAGCTGCCACTTGCCTTCTCCCTGTCCAAAATGCAATCATACCATTTTGGATAATCAACAGGAAAGTGGTGGTGTGGGAATCAGCTCCACATACCCCCCCACCCCCAACAGTACAGCCCTGCTGTCACCATTGTCACCAACCCCCACTGTTCCAGGCACCGGTGCCATCCCCACTGTGTGCCTGTGGGTGACACGGCGTGGAGCGGGGCTGGGTAATTAACAGGAGGCGATTTAATTGATTCTCAATCTGGCGAGGGCAGCGAGTGGGGATGCGGGTGCCATCGAACCGTCGCCCTCCTCTGCAGGGAGTGAGGGAGGGTGACACTGTAGGGGGACAAGGGACACAGGCACCGCAGCCGTTCCAGTGCTGAGACCTGACCCAGTCCCCATCCCAATCCCCTCCGTGGTGACAGAGCCACTGGATAAGAACCAGCAACCCATGACTCTGTGCAGTGTCACATCCCGGCTGAGAGCTGGCACTGTCTCCATCCTGCCTAGCTCTGGGGACACCCAACCCAAAACGCTGCTATGCCACAGCCCCTGGGCAGGAACCGACCACAGAGGACCCGACCACGATGTCACAGCTCTCAGGGACGGCAGATGGTGACACTGTGGGCTCTCTGAGCCACAGCTCTCCCATGTCCCCAACGGCAGCTGCACTGTGCCCTCACCCCATCACCAACAGGACAGGACCCCATCCCGTGGGAGCCAGCCTGGAAATTATCTATATTTAATTTTTGAGTGTTTGGGTTCCTGGGTGATTTTTTAATTTTTTTTTTTTTTAAGCCATTAAGAATTAAATTGCAACCATTAAAGCCATCTCCCCCCCCAGGGCGGCTGTTGGAAGCTTTCACCCCCTGTGCTGAATGGTGGGCCCCCTCTGTGACCCCCCCCAGGAGAGTCCTCCATTTACCTGCAGCTTTAGGAGCCACTGGGGACCTCTCATGCAGCCTCAGCCTGCAACCTCCCCAATGCCTTTGTGCCCCCCAGAGACTTTTGGTCACTGGGGGAGGCTGTTCCCAAAGCAATTCCCAACTCCCCTCTTCCCCCCCCACTCAAAAAAATCTCACAACGGGGCACAAATCTCCAAATCATGGCATCCCCATGGAGTTTGGTGACCAGAGGATTTAGCAGGGGACATCACCCACAGATAGGGCTCAACCCCTATCAGCCACCTGAGAATCTCCCCCCACCCCTCCAGCACTGCCCATAGCCTCCAGTTGCCACGCAGCCACTCTCCCAGTGGGATCTGGGGTGCAGGGACCCTCAGAAGCTCCATGCCATTGATCCCAGTGACTGTAACCCAGCTGGGGGGCTCCGGTGTCACCGTCCCCCGGCGCTCAGCGGTGACAGTGAGCGGGTGCCCAGCACAGTCGGGGTAACCCGAGCCTCCGGCTGCATAAATGCCTCCGATTGTGAGGGTGAAGAAAAGGCAATGGCTGAGAGGGGCCGGGGAGGAGGGGGCTGGCGGCGAGCGGGGGGCACAGCGGAGAACAGGGCCCCATTGATGGAGGAGGAGGAGAAGGGGGAGAGGAGCGGGGACGGCTGGAGGGAGCTGCGGGGAAACTGAGGCAGTGAGAGGGGGTGCCCCCGACATTGGAGTGGGGTTGGGGTCCCCGGTAGAAGCTTTGGGATGGAGTTGGGAGATGGGGAATGGGGATGGCTGTGACCTGGAGGTGCCAAATTACTGTGGGTGAGCTGTCCCTGTGCTGTGCCTCAGTTTCCCCATTTGATAGCAAGCTCAGTGCCAGGCACCACCCATCCGCACCCACAGCCTCGGGGGGGGG